GGTGAGTATTCAAGGAGGAGTCCAATGGGAGACACATAGACTTTAATGACTGTAGAAGTTGATGCCTTTTCACAGGTATTGCTCACAGGTATTCTGCAATTGTTTTTCCAGCGCTTCTTAGCACTAAATAAAAATATTGCTTATGGCATAGGGTGGAAGATAAACAAGCACAAAACAAACTCCAAATGGAATAATAATATAGTAACCATAGTATTTTGAGGAGTTACTCATTTACCTCATTGTAAAAGTAAATGTAGGCTGGAACATAATGTTTCAACATTTTTATTCAAAACTGTCTCAGTTTCAAAAGAAATTATCAGCTTTATTGAAACAGATGAATCATTGAGGAAACCTTATGTTAAATGTTCACTACATACCATGGGAACAAGGTGACTGGCTCATTAATATGCCGCCATGGTTTTCTCACTACACTAACATTCACTATCGGTCCAACAGTTTTTCACTCCTGATCATTTTAACAATATCTTCTTGTAAAAAAACTCAGGAACATGGAGATTTTACTGGGCAAAGTCATCAGCCACGTCCTGGAGCCACTTCTGATGCAATCAGAGCAACACTATCTACCTGACGTCTTCAACCTAATTTATCTAGAAATGATTTTAGCACTTGCAAAAAATTGATCATGACGAAGCACAATTACCATCCTGAGAATTAAAGTTTCTTCTTGACTCTTATATTGATTAGTCTAATCAGTTCTCCTACAGCCTGCTGTCATTACAAACAGGCTGTGCAATCAATATATATATATAATCATTATACCAGGCATAATATCATAAGAAAGAAATGCAATTAAGCCCTGAACAGAAAATCTCACAGCAAAAATATGTCAGCTTGATTGTTTGTGATGGCAAGTGAGTTTCTCAGAAAGTCAATCTTTCCAGGGCACCGCCAGATATAAACACGGTGATAAACCCTCACTGATAACAGCAAAACACACACACACAATCCCACACACACAAAAAATAATAACGGATATGCGGACGTGTGGGATATTCAGTGGCATTCTGGAGGAGTGAAACCTGTCTGGTTCACTTTAGAAACCACTGTAGATGTGAGTGTTTTCACAGCCTTGTTAGTTTCGTGCAGCCTTCCTTAAAGGGCAGCCGCCTCATTTCTTTGCTGACTGACAGTGGGATTTGCGGTGATAATGTCTTCGGGTGCCAGAGGATTGGGATTAAACATACTCCAATTTAAACAGCAAAGTTGCTATGGCGATAACCTTCAGTTTTAGCTCAGTTGGTACACATGAGGAATACAGTGACTGGTGTTATTGTCCGGAGACGCTCAACACTTCGGCGGGGGCTTTGGCCATGATTGCACTTTCAAATCCTCCATCAAATTATAAACTCTGTCCCTACAATATGTCTGCTGGTGAAAAGTGCAGGTGACATTTCACACAGCAGTCGAAGGGAAAATTGCACCGCGCACAAATTTTCCCACTTGAGTGACTCATGACTGTAACACTGTTGAACAGTTGAAATTGAACGACTGTTTGAGCCCAAAAGACAAACTTTAGACGCCCCCACCTACACCTCAGTGGCACATTGACCTATTGACCCTCCCATAAACCCTTTAAGTTCAGGCAAACCTTCCCCTCCCATCCTAATTAAAGTGAAAGAGGCCTTTCAGAAAAGTAGCTGATGAGGGCTGACGTGGGGCCACCCTCTTGGCTGTCTGTGGACCCAAGCATCCAGAAAAAGCTTGGGCTGCACAGGCCAGGAGACTCACGGTTTGGGGTCAGTGTATATCCCCCTCAGGGGCAGTCCGTTCACACTCTCACACCTGCCTGTCAAAGGAGAGATCAGCAGGACGTCACCACAGAGAGCGAAAGAGTCAGAGCAAAAAGCAGAGGGAGAGGGTTTTCACGTTTTTTAAATAAAGCACAAACCCCAGCAGGCAGCATTAAAACAGTACAATTATTATCACTATTGACTCGAGCCAATCTCAGCCGGACCCATGAGGCGTGGTTGGTCAATATGAATTGAAACAGCCTCATAGAGTTGTGTGTATCTGATAAGGTCAAGGGTGTGGCTACACTGCCTCATGGTGGAGGCTGTGTGAACTGCAAGCAGACACACAGGAGTAAACGATGCTGTCGTATTAGACACACTCAGATGAGTCCAAAGAGCTGATAGCTAGTCATGTTAACATTTACTTACACAATGGGCAATATTCCATGTGTTTCTATTAGACAATGCAAGGAAGTTTTACTCATGTAAAGCACATTTGATAGATTAAAAACCACACAGAGACAAAATTAAAAGAAATCTATTTAAAAAAGAAAGCACACATTTTAGATCAAAAATAAAAGAACATATAGATGAGTAAAATTTTAAATGAAAATTAGATCAAATAAAATAAAGGTGTGACTTTGTAAAATAGATTAGTCAAAGCTGCTTGTGAATAAAAATGTGGTTTTAAAAACTGTAATGGATGTGGCATTTCTTAGACTGTGGTGACTATTATTTGGAAATATGTTTTGAGTCACATATTAATATCTATCACAACACCTTTATACCTGCTCAATTATGTGTACGACATAACTCTTTAGTCAGCAGTGAGCGTCATCAGTCCAGCAGATGTTAGTCTTATATCTTCTCTAAGTGTGAATATAACAGGTTGACATGGTTCAGCTTGTGAGCAGCTGTTTAATCCAGCTGTTTGAAAATACATTTGCTAATGTGCACATAAAACATATTCACCAGAGGGATGCACATAGCTGTAAACACAACCTGTGTTTTAACAAGATTGACTTAATCTTGTTTCAGTGCAAACACATTTTAACACAGAGCTTCTCGTTTGTACTTCATGTTATTTCCTCTGCCGCAGCCAGTGTGACGTCCCTGAAGCCTGGACCTGGGTGATGTTTTTCCCTCTCAGGCTGATTGTTTAAGCCTCACAAATTCATAACCTGATCTTTTAAAACAAATCAGCTCTTATTATTTTGTTATCTTATGTATTGATGTTTATCTTAATATTTATAGAAACAGCTTAGGGAGTGACAAAATGTCATAGAGTATAATCACCTGCTGCACAAGAGAGTCGTGCAGTGTCAGGGAGTCAAGTTGAAGGGAGAAGAGAAGAAGCAGAGAGAGAGGAGGAGTAGAATGGGACGAAAAAGAGAGAAAGCGACATTACAAATGAAGAGCTATGAAATACATTTGATCAACTCATGCTTTTGCACTTTTAAACTGAAGAGGTACCAAGGCTTTTTTGTTATTGACAAATATTTCAAATATTATATTTTTAACAACATGTTTTTATCTGTGTTTGTAAACAAACAAGTGTAGTGATACGCCTCTGAGAAGAAACGATTAAGTTTTGGTATTCTGATCAGGAATAATTTATTCACTTTGGTTCACCTAAAGTTTGGGTTTTCAATCAACCTTTTTGTTGATTTAAGAACTGCAGATGAATCTTGATGAGAAAATACATTCACAGGGTTGGTATTAAGTATGTGCGATTTCTGGATAACCAAAAAAGGTATCTGGTTAAAAGTGGTTTCATACAGTTGTAGGCTTTTTTCATGGTAACAAACAGGACTAGAAACTTGGAACAACCACCGATTGGTAGATGAGAAATGTAATGTGACCTTAGCTTTAAGGCTGGTTTTATTTTAAGGAGACTGTTGGGCCTCGGCGGAGGTATGAGCTCTACTGAGTGCAATTGTAGTTTATTATGTTGGCTTCATTATTTGGAAGTTATATTTCCTCTCCTGATACTCAACATCAAAATCCCAGGGCAGGGGAATTATGGAGCCGTATCACATGACTTCATCTTGAAATAGTGTAACAGTATAAACTTAACGAGCACTTTGGTTTAAAGTAATGAAGCATCGCGTTAGTTCAGCTGTCATAAGCTGTGGGCTACCACTCATGCTCTGCTGCCGGCAACCTGCCTCCATCACCCCAGCCTCCACCTTTTAGCACTGAGTCCAAACATGGTTGTGGTAAATGGTATTCATCTTGAACAATGTATCTTGCCTGCTATGCCCACTGGGGTTTTTTGCATGTGTTCCCTGTTTGATAGCATGCTGCTTGGCCAATCCACGGAACCTCCAAAGACTGGAGCCATCCACACCAAGCAAAACTGTATTCCCATTTGTGCAATAAATGGTTAAATCGTGCCGAAGTGGTCCTGACTGAACAATAATCAACAAAGGTAGATTTTAGTTTGATTCCTAACTTCTGTAAGCACCATATGAAAAACCTTTGAACTTGGGACAAAAACATTCTTGAAAATCTTCTTTAAGTCTTTAATTGATTTGCTAAATCCATAAATAGATGCTAATTTTGCTCCAAAGCATCACTGATTCATTAGGATACAAGCTAACAAGAAGCTTGCAGGTCAAATTATTCAACCTTTAACTGCAGCATCAGGATTTGTAATTGTAATAAATGAAAAAAGAGGTCCCTCCTCCTACTGCGGTGCCTTTTTCAACCAAAAAAAAGGAACTTTGAGGCTGAATTTCTCAAAAATGATAGAGTCAATATGCTTGATACTGAGTGAGTCAACAGTCAGGATGGTCCTGAGGACAACTGCATCAGCCTTTGTTAGAAATTATGGATCAAAGAGATTTTACAGTAGAGTAAATATTGCGCATAATGCCTTTTTAAATTCAAAATAATGAACTTTGAGGCAGAATTTCTCCAAAATGATACAGTAAATATGCTTGATACTGAAAGATTAAACAGTCAGGATGGTCCTGAGTTCAAGTGTATCAACCTTTGTCAGAAATTATGGATCAAAGGGATTTTACAGTGGCGTAATAGGTTTGCTCGCTCCGTATCATGGACTACATGCATTTGCCATACATTCTGTATTACGGGCGCACTTGAAATCAGGAAAAGACGAACGTCTGCTCACTTGACCACAGTCTCCTCCTCACTGATCCCAGCTCAGTTACACTAGCACTCACGCCCTGCTGCCAGCAACACGTGAAGCACGGTTATGATCATTTGGCTCGTCACTGTACTCACCTATCCACACTCATCATGCCTCATCTCGGGACAGACGAAGGATCCCTCATCGAAGAAGACTGCATCTTCGAACTCAGCATGACGAGGAAGGATCGGGAGGAAAGACCAGAAGAGAGTTGCGATGTCCCCCGTAGTTCTCGTCTGGCAGCCAAAAATCCTCTATTAAAAACTGGCCAGGGAGTAAGTTACTCAAGAGCCTCTAAAGCCGCAATATGTCCGTCCCTCTTGGGACCAGTCACGGAGAACCTCTCCAGTTGCTGTCACACACTTTGAAGAAGAACATCAGGCTGATAATCCCTGTCACCCCTTCCTCTGCCCCTGAGAAATTTACTTCGATGAAGCAGTACAGCGGCGGAGATTCCTCTAACGCAGGATGAAGACCCGGTCCGAACCGTGCTGATCAACACCCAGTCCTCCCTCAGCGAGACGGACGCCCGCCTCCATGTCCGGGACAAACGAGACAACTCCCCAAAACACCTGTTTTCGCCGTGAGCACGGCAGGTAGCGCGCTGCCAATTGGCGTCACGCCGCACAGAACTCTGGGAACTGCAGTTCCTACAACTGTACCGTGAGTCCGATTCTTCCCACCCGCTGCTGCAGTGACTCTCCAGCATGCAAGCAAATCCTTGCAGTTATTGGAGAGACAGCAACTCCAGGTCTGCCTCTCCTAGCCGCACACTCTAATAAAAATAATAGGGTAAACCGTCTACATGTTAACGTATCAAATCACATCAGTGCTGCTACCACCGCTGCTGCCCTGGTTCCTGAATCCACAGTGAAAGCCTTGGGTAGTTGGTCTTCAACAGCCTACGAGTGTTAAGTTCACTAGGGCTTAGACAACATTATCTCAGCTCGAAAGACCAGTGGATTGCTGGGTGTATTGATCTGCTTCGTAAATAATTTGAGGTCTGCAGCATGCTTGCTGATACACAAATATTTCACATAACAGTAGCATGACTTCTCGCAGAATGCATGCTTGCATTCTTTAGTCAATAATTACCTCCCGCAGAATGCATGCCCAGATTGTTTAGCCTATAATTTTAGAGGTCAGCAGCATGCTTGCTGCTAAACATAGATATTTCACATAACAGAAGCATGTCCTCTTGCAGAGTGCATGCCCACATCCTTTATATAATTTTAGAGGTCAGCAGCATGCTCGCTGCTACACAGATATTTCACATAACAGTAGAATTACTTCTCGCAGAATGCATGCCTGCATTCTTTAGTAATAATTGTAGAGGTCTGCAGCATGCTTGCTGCTACACAGATATTTCACATAACAGTAGTATGCCCTCTCACAGGATGCAAGCTAACAATAAGCATGCAGGTCAAGGTATCCAATCTTAAACTGCAGCAGAAGGATTTATAATTGTAATAGATGACAAATTGTTATAAATGACAGACAATAATAATAATAATAATACTAGTAGTACTAATAATAATAACAATAACTGTGCGTATTCTATATACATCTAGTATATGGATAAAATGCAGGTTAAATTAAATTAGAAGTGAAAGAAGGACATTCGCAGAAATGCAGTTACAAAAGGTATTTTATATTGTTTGCATTTACATTTACATTGCAATTAAAAACAATTAGTCTGCACATCCTAAATTGGCTCCATTGTGTCATTCAGTAGAATATATTTCCTTACAATTTCATATATACAATGTGAAAAATATGGACATCTAGTTTCTTTTAGTTCAAATTACATTAAAATGTTAAATTTAATCCATGAGGAGAAATACAGATAAAACAAGGAACAGAATGCACACGATTAGAGTGTGCAGTTTATGCTATATTATTACGATACAGATACTGTAACTTCTGCAGGTTATAGATTTAATATAGTTCATAAAATAACTGCCCAAAAAAAACCCTCAGCAAACAGTGTGGATTGTCGTGTTGTGGTTTTCATTCACGGACATTTTCTATACAATATGTACAGTAGACTCAACTTATAGAGTACAGGCCTCAACCTGTGGTGAGGTCTGCTCACCCTCACTCTGTTTATAAACTCAGTAATTCTTTTCAAACACAGTGGATTAACCTCATAAGTGTAACGTGCTTGGCCATGTAAAAGGCTTATGTAGATTTGCGGCGTGTGAGAAGTGTTTCCTCGCCACCTCCCAAGTTATCCTGCACTGCTCGTCAGATGCGTGATTGACAGGTGGAGGGGCTGATGATGTAACGACACCCTGACTGAACTCTTGGTGCCATATTTAGTCACAATGGCATCTCCTGCAGCACAAGCTCTGCTGGAATAACTTTGGCATGTGGGTACGTAGGTAAGAAAAGAGACAACAGACTCGGCAGAAATGTGACTTGAAAAGTGAAAAGTCAATGAGATTCTCGAGCCTATTGGTTCAACAGTTCGTTAAGCAAATGAACTAAAAGAACTAGAACAGTATCTCTCCCCTCTTTAATGTAAGAGGCAAATAATAAATTAGCTCTGCCTGTTATTTCAGCACTTCCCTCAGGATCCTCTACTTATTGGCTTAGCGAAATCCACTGAAAGTCGCATCTACTTGAGCACCGCTTAATGGATTCAATCCAACACGGTGCGTATAATCCACACAGTCACACCTAGCACCTCAAGCTCTTCAGCAACTCCAGGATGTCAGTGTTTACGTTGAGTGGAGTGAAGTGGTGGAAAGTAGGACGAGAAGTGTAGCATCAAATTGCACAGCGTTATTCAGCTTTTTTTGGGGGGGGGGGCTGACTGAGAACAACAGTGGTCGGCGTCGAGACGTTCAGGTGGATACTTGTAGGCACGATGAAGTTGTGCCGAAACATCTACTTGAAAAAGCAGAGGAACAACAGAGGCAGGAGCAGCAGCAGGTAGTTGAGTCCTGGCAGCGGAGAGGCGAAGCTTGTCACATTGCAATCGTTGCTGTAGCAGCAGTGGACTCTGACGCCTGGTGCCCTGTAGCCCTGGCTGTTGGCCTGACTGCAAAAAGACTTGTAGGAGCATGACTTCATCACCCCACCTGACAAACACACAGGAATAGAAGTCAGGTACACTGGTTTAGGATCCGTCTCACACAGGACATATACAGTATATATAGATATAGATGTATAGATATATATGAGTTATATGGGCTATGACACTTTATGTGAGGAAACTAGTGCATCTACGTAATGTATGTGTCCATGCAAATGATGGTTGCTGCCGTTGCCATACTTTTTCAATATTGTATGTAAAACTTCTGTGTTGTGCAGGTTTAAATTAGGAAAAAGCTTAATTTAATGAGGAGGAATTGAACACATGGTGTCCTAATTAAGGATATTGATCGAGCAGGAAAAACAAAGCTCTTCATTCTCTTAAAAGCCTCAGACCCCCTGCTGACTGGGACTTGTCTCCAGACAGCAGCAGCCTGTCTTCCATTAAATTAAACACACACACACACACACACACATGCTGATACAAATACAGTTTTAACAGTTAAAAATGTTGGTATAGAAAAGACAAACTAGTAAAAAAAAAAGCTACTACACTGTCAAGGTTGGACTCACTGTCATGGCCCACCACCACAGCACAGGCGTCAGAGTAGCTGGGACACGATTTGGAGCCTTGTCGGTTGCAGTCCTCGTTGTTGGAGCCCATACAGGTAAAACATTGCAAAGCCTCACCTGACAAACACAGAGGAGAGATGTTTGCTAATGCACACACAGATGCATGATACACAAAGAAGAGTAGAACAACAACTCAGAGATCTCTTGAATATAGTTTTGTCCTGGTGGAGTGGAGATGTATGGCTCTATCTTTTTCTTTATCAGAAGTCTGCTTTTAAATGGGCATAGGGAATAATGGTGTTATATGGAGCTATATCATTTTTATTTCAAAAAAATATATTATTCAACATTCATTTTGAAAAGTTTCAGCTCATTTTAATAATACAGCGATTATACTGATAAATGTCACCATAATCGTGTGACAGCATTTTCAAACTGTTTCATCTCTGCTCTCATACTGACTTAATCATATTGCTTCAATTGATGGGAACTGTTTGTGATCCTTTATGATGCAGTATTTTCCTCTGAATATTTCACAGACAGAATAAGAAATTTCTGGTATTTGATGTCTTGACTTATTCTTTCAGTTTCTGCTGCTACATTTGTCCTTTAAGACGCTATATTTAGACTCTGGTAAATCTTGAGACAGCTACCTACAGCTGCTCTAGTGTGGTAAAGACTGCATTACACTGTGGCACACTTAAACTAACTCAGTCCCATTTATCATCAATTCAGGGCCTGGGATTTATGCCCTTTAAAAACACCACAGTTGTTGTAAATCACACCTTACAATGACAGTAAAGTGAAGACAAAGCATTAATTACTCCCTTTTGTTTTCTCAAAAAAAGCAAATAGTTAAACGGTCACCCTCAGATTTAAAAACACATGTTCCTAACCTTCAGCTAAAGCTTGAGGAGTCCACTTTAGCACATAAAACACTTAAATGTCTCTGTAAAGCTCTTCAGAGGAAGGAGTGGTTGTTCGAGAACAAGCTGACCTTTTAAATATCACTTTAACGCTTCCTTTTGAAAACCTCTTTCGCTCTCCTAAATTCTAAAATGGCCCTTCAGAAACTGCCTTCAATGCAGAGTCCTAAGAGGATCGAACAGAGCTGGACTTAGAGGAATCACAGAAAGACTCAAACATTCTTTTGCAGCAGCACATCTTTTGTTTAGTTGAATCAAAATAACCTCCTTCGATCCTGACTGTGCCCTTTTATCATTCAGTTGTGATGGCGGGAGGACGAGAAAGTTGCACAAAGTGTTGTTTCCTTACAGTTACAGACCAGAGAGTTGACATTTTCCAAAATTTTAAAAAGTGTAGAAATGTCAGCCTTTTAACTGACAAAAACACACACAACTTAAGAAGTAAAACAATGACAATGACAGCAAACCACAATTTCTTGCTTGAATATGAATAGCTGGTCTATTTTTGTCACTGGTCGTGTGCTCCTCTGTGTGTTGACATGCCATATAAATATCCCCTGCTGTTTGTTGTTGACCCCAATCTATCCCCACAGCACAGCCGCTCCATACACATGCTTTAAGTATTAGCCGGCAGGCCTATTAAGAGATTAACTGCTGGGGGATTGCATGCTTGCTACAGGAGAGGATGACAGTTGGGAGGGCGGCAAAAAGCTGGATAATTATCATGGAAATTAACAACAATTAGCAGACTTGGCATGAATAAAGAGTCATCATAAGGTCTTACGCTGGTATCTACTTATTAGGTTGAGAAAACATGTCAGGGATGTTCGGTGTAATAAAGAAATGCAGTGTTGTTGTGTCATCTCTTGTTCTGATGTCTGAAAGCACAGTCTTTGTGGACAGTTAGCAGGTTCGTGCCTCTTACAGAAAACAATTAGTAAAAACTATTCTTGGAAGTTCCACAGAGACAAATGAGAAAATTGTCTGAAGTGAGACACCAACCAATCTCAAATCAAAGGTTGACAGATGATCCAATAGGAGGAAAGGATAGTTAGAAGAGATAGAATGCTGGGATAGAAAATAAAGTCCTTACTGTTGGTTAATAGCAGGACCAGGGTAAGCAGGAGCAGCGGACAGTACTGGACAGCTCTCATGGTGCCGGTGGTCCTTGGTCCTTCTGTGAAAAGAAGCTTGTTTGCTCCTAAAGCCCCCTGAGCTTAATCCGGGCTATCTAATGAGCCAATATCCCCAAATGCACTGACCAGCAGACAAGCAGCCCCTCCACTGGGGCCCACAACTCCTGTGTACACAGTGTCAGTGGTGGCTTCTTCAGTCATAGACGTGCACTGGTACACATCCTGCACCTTTCACCTCACTTATCCTCACTTGATGTGGCCACACCCATCCAGAATGTGGATCTTCCCTTTCCTGTCCCTGTTTCTACCTGCAGCCCAGCCCTAACACTCCATTCCCCTGATCATCAGGTGTAGATTTGTCCTCTGTTGTACATTTGTTTTTGTGAGATCTGTATTCAAGAACATTTTGCTGCTGCTTACGTAGATTTGACGTTTTTTCCATATAGGGATGGAGTCCATGTAAATGTTGTAGCTACTTCAGTTGGACCTTTAGAGTAAGAGGTTATAATACAAATCTGCGGTTGCAAGAATTGCAGTGAATGATTATAAGTTGGGTGTCATCTGTCCAAATGACATTGATTGTCTATATATTTTAGAGTAGTAGCTGTCAGGATACAACACTGCTGTATTTGTCAAAAGGTTTATTTATATTGCAATAATCTAAAGCTGTTTCCAACTGTTTCTTGTCTTCATTGCGGAGCACTAATGCTCTAAATATGGTAATATGGTTCAACATATGTTATTTCTAACTTATTTTGAACACTATTACTATTAATAGATATTATATTAAAGTAGAAATGCTGTCAGTATTTTTTTTCATCAAGATTCAAACAAAAAACTCAAAAAGGAAAATTTATGATGCATCAGTGCATCATTTACACATCAGCAAGATCACCTGTGCTTGTGTTTATTTTCTCCTCTGACACTGACAGGAAGCAGCACATCCTCAAATAATTATACTCACATCTAAACCCTGATTTATAAATGGTTGTGCCAGATCAACTAAACTCATTTCCACCAGATTTCCAGCTAAACACAAATGCAGGAAAACAAATTGAGCCACTCAGTGTGATTTTCTACATGCAGACCCATTTGAAGTTAGTGAGAAAACATGCTGTGCAGGTAAAGCAGTAGAGTGAACCCAGTGTGCTGTATTGCCATCTTTTATTGCACTTTGTAAGCAGACGCTGTACAGTAGCTGTGCAGAGAAGTTATTCCTCAGTGTGACACAACGACCATAGCAGGATGAGGACATATCCATCCAAAATTAAATTACTCCTTGTCACAACTGAATACAGTCATGATTAGTTTGCCTCATATCAAAATAAAATCAAAAAATAAAGTCCCAACGATTTCGTCGAGAAAGCTATGACAAGTATGACAAATATCTACAAGGTTACATGAGGAAAAGCGCACTGAGGATAACTATCAAAAATGGAGATACTTGGAATTTCCTATGGTATATACAAACATTAACATTTCTCTCTCACATGCAGGAAGCTACTGTGATAGTTTGAGTTCTCTTCAGGGTTTATCAACATGTTATGAATGAATCTAACTCTCTGATACTCTTTTTCAAAGTCTATCTTTGAGACGACAACAGGAGCGGGTAAACAGTCTTCTCCCTCAATGGCTGTCATGGCAACAAAATTAAAGATAATTTCACCCACAAACAATGCTCTCACTCTCTCATCGACACACACACACACACACACACACACACACACACTCATTAGTGATATGGTACATTTTCTAAATCTTTAAACCAGACCTCTGTTACAGTACGATACGCTGACACATCAAAACAATGTACAGAGTGATTTAGAGGAAGCCATTCCTGTGGATCCTGTGTAGACAAAGTCAGTAGGTAATAAAATCGGCAAAACCACTCAGGGCTAATCTCTCCATTAGTCCTTGGTGGAGTGATAAATAAAACTGATCTGCTTCCTTTCTAAGTAGTTTTTACACAGCATCTTGTCTTCTCTTTGAGACTTGGACCGGGTGTGACGCAGCTGCTAACTCTTCCCCATCTTAGCGATGAGCTCGTCACAAATCTTTGTCAGCTCCTCGATCTCTTTGTTCTGAAAAACAAGAGTCAATATTACAGTTTATATACTTAAGCCCCTTTTCCACTGGTCAACTAACACATGCCAACATTTGGCTTTTTTCTGAAATGGGAATGGATTTAATCTGCATTCACTTCCAGGTCAAATGACTCTGCAGTAGACACAGGTTTTTATTGGCTCTGATTGACCTGACACGTGATGAAAACGCTAATTTGGCAAGACAGCAAGGTGAGGGAACATCTCAGTTTTCAGGGCATTTGTGAAGTTGAACGTGACACACGGATAAAAAAAAACAAAACAGAAAGGTTAAGTCCTCCACTGGCGATGGGAAAGCAGTCAATCTCCCTTTTTTTGTTTACTCACATTTAAATAACTCATTTCCTTTTTTACTGCATCTCACCACTGACCTTTTGCTCTAAAGTGCGCTCCAGAGAGTCCACTTTCATCTGCTCCTTCCTCAGACTGGCCTGGTGGGCGGCCTGCTCCTGCTTGGACTTGGCTCGCACATGAGCTATGTCTGAATTGGCCCTGGAAACACACAAGTCACACAATGAGAATCAAGTCACCTCTGCGTAGCTCCCATAAGCTTGGGAAGTCTTGTGAAAGCACAGCCAGCTAATTACATTGGCCTGTATCCCAGCATATTTCAATTGGACAGTGAGTTACTGTGTAATTAGTGTATTGTGGTGATATCCCTTTGGGGGAAAACGCAGTCATAGAAGAGAGAACATCAAATAATGAGAGTATGCTTAAGCTCACTTGTCTAGTTTCTCCTCTGCATGAATCTTCAGGGCCTGATAGCGCTGTTCCTCCTTACGGACTCTGGACAGATACTCCTGAGCGCACTTCTTCAGAACCTCTTCATTCTGAAATGGAGTGAGAAGTAGTTGCTTTTAATCTCTAGTCATAATGAAAAACTTTAGATGACAAATGCCTGCGTTTAGTGAATGATTAATTAGTCAGTATAAGTCACCTTGCGGAAGCCCTCCAGCACATCTTTCATCTTTTCGTAACGACGGAAGAGGTCAGCCAGGGACTTTTCCACGGAGTTGAGGTCAGCCAGGGCCTGGTCCTTCTCCACGATCAGTTGCTGGATGGTGTGGTGGGAGAGAGACTTCTCTTTCTGGTCATCCTCTGATGGATACACACAAACATACTGTACATCAGATCATAAGTCTGCAGTATGTGCTGAACAGTCTTCTGTACTAGTGGGCATGTGGAGGGTTTAAAGACCCCCAGCAACACACATTTGTACAAGCAAATGTTTTAAAAGACTATAGCTGTGTCTGAATTCAAGCTTCATCCTTCAGAGGCTGCATTTGAAGCCTCATTGCTCAGAGCAGCATGACTAGGCTGTCCCACTTCAAAGGCTCCTTCACACTCACCTGACAAATACGTCCTTCCATCCTTGAGAAACAAAGAATTTAACATGTGGATCCTTCCTAGGCTGATCTCAGGATTCTTTGTGCTTTAGTGATAAAACCTTTTATGAAGAGGTAATGGGTGGAGTTGAGGCACCAGTAAGCAACGAGATGTCCCAAAAAAACCAAGGGGAATTGAAACTTTCTCATGTCCAACTTCAGCTCTGTTGCTAGGCAACAGCAATAAAGGCAGGACAAGCTGGTGACAGAAATCCTCTGTGGACCAGACTGTCTCATTTCAGTTCTGCCTTATCAGTCCACACAACCCACGAAGGAGGCAGTCTTTGAGGGCTGGGTAGCCTGCGATCTCTGAAGGATGCATGCCCTGACACAGACACAGTCTATATATCAGAATGGATTTGTATTCGTATGAGTTAATATCACTATATACTACACTACATGTGTATTTCTGATAAACCAGTGTAGCATGCAAACAAAAACACATAACAATGGAAAAAATAAAGAGACTTGGAAACCATAGAGGAACCATAGCGGCCTCTGGTTTGCTTTTCTTTGAGTTCAGTATAATGTGACAAAGCTTCAACAGTATCTTGACCCCATCCAAGCATTCCCTATCCTTTCCTCTTACAAGCTTATTTTACCAGCCTGCTTAACTCACTAATTCTATGAATGACGCAACCCTCCATATCACAGAAACAAGGTGCAGATGTGCACGTAAAGGTTTCCAGTAGGTACGATGTTGCACTGAATATCAACAATTAAAAATCCCATTAAAGGCAGCTGAATAGAAACTGACAAACAATTCTGTCCTTGTTCAATATACAATGTCTCAAAATACAGGATGAAACACAACAACATGGACAAACAGTTGCCATTGGATGTAATGAAAAAGTGAGCACATCTGCGCCCCTTCTTTGACGGACGGATGGAGAGACGTGAGCTGACACAAAAAGAAGTGAAGGACGAGTCCTTATTACTCACCTGGCATGCCTGTCAGTGTTATCAAACAGTAAGGGGCAAAGATGGGAGCAGAACAGAAAAGAAGGGACTGTGTTAAGTCAAGCTGGGAGGGCAAGACACGTGAAAGAGCCGAGTGTTAGACACAGGCAGAGACAGGTTGTTCCTTTTTTGTGCTTTAATGAGAATAAGAAATAAAATTATACAGCAGCGAAAAAGCAAAATCTCTAAAAATGTCCAGGGGTGGTGGAGAGGATGTAGGTGAGGGCAGTAATGATGCAGAGACTCGGCCCGAGGTGGAATTTACTGCGTCCAGAGAAGCTGGACACGAGTGAGCAAAGGTGAGAGCATGGCCGAGACCAAAGCTACAGGGTTCAAATCATATCCATCAAACATGAGAAAGCAGGCACATAGCAAAGATAGATTGTTTCAGCGCATTTAACTCTGCGCTCTGAAGTCAGTGTATTCGGAAACCTAAAGTCCTTCTTTGTTTTTGCTCGGTTTGCAAATCAAACATGTGCAGCACAAAGTGGTGGCAGAGGCTGGGGACTCAAAGTAATTAATTGAAAATAAAAGTCAGAGGGAACAGCAACCATGTGACCAGAACTTTGTTCATGTAAACCTGTATTTAGAAATGAACTCACCAATCATCTGTGCAATTGTCTTCTCATACTCTGCAACAATTCTCCTATGGATGAGAAAATTTAGATCATCAGAATATGGATAGATTTAGATCAGTATAAATATACATGTCTCTAAAACAACCTTAGAGTGTGGAATTTATATATTTGCCTGCACCAGTGAACACAGACATTTGTTTATAGAGCTTCCTTTCAGCCCTTACCAAGATTATCAAATGAAAACACGTGGCTGGGATTGGGTGCACAGTTTTACCAGTTTCCACCTGAATCTTACTGTTGGAAGCTTCCCTGCCCTCCGAGTGGAGCAGCAGGGCCCAGTGAGAAGCCTTGTTTTGGTAAAAGCAGGTTACCAGAGGTAAGAGGATTGATTAGCTATGCCTTGCCCTTAGGCATTTAGCTCCTCCTTATCCTGAGCCCAATAAGTCAAATGAAGTAAGCTCTCTCTTATCCACACTAACTGATCTGTGGCCAGCTGGACCCACACCCACCACCTGCTGGCAGAGAACATGGTGTCAGTGCCACATATATCTCCATCTCTACGGGCCCCTATTAGCAGCCATTTGTCCGATATAGATTGATCGTTTATGGATGTAAACGCGAGTCAGGTTAATCCCAGTTTTGCGCTGCTGTCAATCAATCACTTGTAAATAATCCAAATGACAGTCACTTAAAGCCCCTTCATTTCATTTTTAATGGAGATCTAACTTTTTAACCCAGGATATCAACCACATAAATGTCTCTCTTCTCCAGCACTATCACGAATGCAGATAATAAGGTAAAGTTCTTTGAAGAGCTCGCCACTCTGCTGTTAACCATGGCTTGGTCTGTCAGTTTAAGCATGATAAACCAATTGACTTGTTAAAGGCAGAGAATGGATAAAGACACTAAACATCATGACACTGCTGTAGAACAGAAGGTGTTAAACCCACACCCTGCAGTGTATGGGCTGGACCTCGCCGTGATTTAAGTGACGACAACCCGACGTGCTGCGTCTTACCTCATCTCCACCACTTCCTGTCGGCTGTCTTCATACTTTCTCTGCCACTCCAGCACTTCTTTCTCCTTCGTCACAATCTGAGGAGGAAAAGTGAATCATGAAGTACAGAGTGTTATATTAAATCTATAAACAGACTTCTAGGATAAAAGAAATAGTTTTGTGGCACCTCTTCTCGTGCAATTCCCAACGAGTGGTCCAGATCCCGGGGCAGGTGGGGACTCTCCCCTTCGATGTAGTTGGTAGTGGCAGTCCTAGAGTACAGCGAGTTCTTCGACACAGCACTCTCCACTGGAGACGACGTGTCTCTGTGCTGCTTCCAGGAACCAAGGGAGAGGATGGAGAGGAAAGGAAACATAACCATTAACAAACCAGACGGAGCTACAGACAGGGCATCCTCACCCTCAGGGCCGACACGCACATTCTCAACTAGATTACTGGACCAAACCGCAAGGCAGTATCAAACGATATTAAAATGTACCACGCAGCAAAAAAAATTAATATGTAAATGAGGCAGGGTAGTGATGCTCCTGAAGACTTGGTCAGCTGCCACATGATTGGATGAGACAGTCTTCATAGCCACAGTATTAGCCAAGTGATTGGCTGATGCTGCCCTCCGCCGAGCAGTCATGATCTCCTGCTCGTTGCGGGAGCTGGAATGTGACTGGGGGGGTCGAGGCAAGGCTGAGGGGAAGGAAGGTAGCAGCTGATACAGCAAGGACTGCATCATATAGAGGAGGGAAGTGGGGTAGAAAACTGGGCAGCATGGGAAATAGATGTTAGTCTCATGTTAAAGCATTCAGCACCATGCTACACTGTTCTTACCTGTTGGCAGATAGATTGTGGTGTGAGCTGAACTAGAAAATTCCCAGGATTTACCCTTAAAAATCAATTTCAACATAGCTTTAAATTGCATTGAAAGTCGCAACAAACCAAAGTATATATGTACATTTTGATGTGACCATCGCAACTTAGGACAATACTCTCCCGACAACAGCTCCAATCAAACAAAACACTGAGCCAAAAACACAATCCTAATTCTAAAGTCATTTCTGGCCCTTGAAACTCTGTTTGCTGCACTGAAAGAGATTTAGTCATCCTTGGGAGAGCCGGATTACGGAAGGATTTGATTAAATGGTCGAGGCTCACGGGGGACAAGGAGACCGAGACTAATTCGTAGAAAAGAGAGTGAAGTGTTTGGTCTGGCTGCAGCAATAATTCCTTTATTCCACCGGAGGTAAAAGCTGGTCAAGTTCAGGTAACCATGGACCTCTTTTTGCTTTTAGTGAGGTATTAGGCTTATTCTCCCAGTTCAGTGAGGTTTTAAAAAGAAAATTCAAGTTGCATTAAATTGCTGTCCTACAGAGACAATCCCCAAGAAGTATCTGGGGCAAAGTGAGCAATTGTGCTTTGGTGGTGCCATTAAGTAATTGCCACACAACTTAACAGTATTCGGCCCCCAGGGCAGTTGCCCACTTTGCCTAATTGGTAGATCAGCCTTGTACAAAAAGCACCCATCATTTCCACATCACCCTAAATCATCATGTCTAATAAACTGCCAACATTTATCTTCGCTTTGGGAATGATACAGACAAAAAAAATCACTTAAGATGACTTAAAGTAAATCTACTTGCTATGAACCAAACGTGTAAATTTAAGACACAAGTTGGAGCAACATTAGGTTATCCAGCAAAGTTTCAGGAGCTGGACCACACCTCAACCACACATCTTCCACCATTTTATAAATGCCTTCCTAACACCCTCCCCCTCTTCCCTTCTCGCAGTCTGCACGCCTCCCCTCAAATCTATTCTCTCCAGGTTTCCTTTCTCCACTCTGTAGGATCCTTAGGGGGGTCGTTTTGTCGTACCCAAGTGGTACAGCAGATTCCCACTCAGAAGCTTCCCCACAACGCAACGAAGACCCGTGAATCCTTCAACCTCTCATCATCACATTGTTAATGGTGCTGTAATAGAATGAGGAAGACTACAAGGATGAATTTGCTGACGGACAAATTACAGCTATGGTAGAAGGTAAATGAAGGGAGACCTTAAGAAAGGTCTTTCTATATCTTCTGGGGTCTAGAGGGGCTACAGTATACAGTGCAGTCTTTAGGAGTCTGGATGGTTGTTTTGGCTCTGGAATCCAGCAGAAGGATGGTAAAGTGCTGAATTTCAGTTCTAATATTAGGACATTTATATCTGTATAAGAGTTGTAGCCCTATCATTTGCATACACATCAACATACCTCTTTATAATTTATGTTAGACACTGTTTTCAATTTTAAAAAAAGTAAACACAATACATATATTAATGTATAAAACATTGTTATTTTGTTGATGTTGCTCTGTTACACAAGACATCTATTACACTTCTGTCTCTCCTGCGAGAGGGGTTGAGGGACAGAGCATGTAACACCTATGAAGCCAATCGGGATTAGTGAATATGGACTATACAAATAAAATATGAGTGATTGATTTATTGATTAAGGGCTGTGATCCCTGCTGTCAACACTTCACATCCAGTGTTCTTGTGCACTGAGCCAGACACAACTAAATCTAAGGACTGCACTGAACGTAGACAGATCACAGGGGAGTGATGTCACTCTTACTTTCAATAAAGGTGAACCGTTGATATTCCATCGCCGCGTGCTGGGTTTCTTGAGACGAGACTGTAAAATGTGTGGGACAAGAGCATGAGACAAGGAGGGAAAGAGGGCCGCGCCTGACCTGCTCCAACTGTATTGAGAGTTGTTCCACTGACTAGATGTTGCAGATTTACCACTGATCATTAAGCACAGAAGGAAAAAATAATATTTTCCTATGTCTAGACCTGTGCTTTTCAACCTAAACCAAATTACCCTCGTTGGCACCTACCCAGTGTTTGTTAGTGCTGTTAGTCTGGGAAAAAGAACCAAATCACAAAACAAGAATGTGACTGGGATTCAAGGTGATGATGATAGTAAAGCATCAAGAACTACATCTGTATGAGTCCATATACTTCCTCAGCTGCTGACATTAAGTCCAGGGTGAGACGTTCCCAGTCACGTTCATGCTCATGTAAGCCTGAACAGACAACATGGATGTTGCCCAGCATGCATAGTAAAGGCAAGGGACTGTCAAGGCACAGCACTCTGGTTTCCAAAGGAGTCAACCTGGAAGAGCTAGCTGCTAGTCGGGGATGGGAGTGGGACGCATTAAGCCATGTTAATAAGAGACTTTATATGTGGGGATTGAAGAGGTGGCAGGACTGCGGATGTGGTGGTGCAGCCGCCATGTTGATAAGGCCATGGGTTCAGTCACACTCAGAATGGTGTGTTTAGGGAGAGGGGTAGGCAGGCTGAGACACACTCATGCACACTCACACACACACACACACACACACACACACACACACACACACACAGCAGATGCTCAGGTGTGTGCCTCTTCACACACCTGCTGTTATGCAATCGCTCATTCAGGATGCAACTTTGCTCTGGCACAAACGCACTCACACATGTACACTCACACATACGGACATAGAGCAGGTGCAGGCTGACTCAGCGCAGTACCTGGGGGGTTACAGTGGAGAGGGAGGGGCTCTGAGAGATGTTTTTGGCTACCTGCAGAGCCTCTATCCTCAGGGCAGCAAGTACCAGCTCCTCCTGGGCCGCACTCAAGGGGGGGTTGGGAGGGGGTTGATGAAGTTCAAGGGTAAGGGAGGCAGAGGGTTGCGGCCCAAGGATGAGAGAGCAAAAGGGAAAACATATTGAAAGTTGAGCACACACACTTCCTGCTGTCTACACCATCGATCTTAAGCCAAAGTAAGGAGGAAAAAATGGGAAAAAGAATATGCAGGATGTGATAATGTGACACAATGGGAATAACAAAAACATACATCAGGGCCACGAGAGGTCATGTGTGGGCTGTCAACACACCTGTAGCTTTTGGGCGAATGCTGTGGGGTTGGTCTCGGCCAGGTCAGGCTCCAGGTACTGCAGGGGGTCGTCACACTCAGACAGCCTGTCTAACAGGGGCATGGCCGGGACAGGAGCAGGGGCCTCCATGGGGCCCTGGCTAGGGGACTAAAAAGGGCACCAGGAGGAGTGGGCAGAGGGCAGGGAGGAGGGCAGGGGTCAGCATGGCAAAGCAAAGCGCTGAGTTTTTGTTTGAGTGGCAGCATTGGGGACTCAGTCACTGAGTTCAAGCTTGAAACTTTGTGTAGTGAAGTGGCATCAGTGACTCGGCTTTAATGAGAATCATTACGACTGGCGGAGGGCCAAGTCACGGCCTGCGATAAAGCATACTGTGGCTCTCTTAGTTGTGACTAAACAATGACATGGTGCGAATGTTATGAAATCAACATTGACAGATTCTCCTCACGTGATGGTGACGAGACACAGAAATTGCATATGTGACGATAAAGGTGTTTGACTCACCTGCTCATCCCTCTCTGTGCTCTGAGTTCGGCTGAGAGACTCGCTCTCTCTCTTCCTGCCCTTATCTACGGCAGAGCCCTCGGGTCCGGGCCGGGAGCTCAGTACCGGTGTCTTTATACCTGCTGATATCTGGGCCTCCATCTCCTCAAAGCTCCTGCACAGAATGAGAGGAAGAGAGAGCAGAGAAGAGAGAGGCTCATGACATGTAATGTACTGGGTTTGATGGATGAGAGTGTTAATTAAAAACATCATGAAGCTGTATGCATCATTGTGCAACCCAAATCATTGTGGTCAGACTAAAACTGCCCAGTACACCCTCCCGCACAGTGAACATACAACTTGTTGGATTGACAACCCGAAAACATAATGCTTCCGGCCCTTGGCTGTCATCAAGGCAAAAGCATGGAAACTACTAGTAGTACTTGTAGTAGTAGTAGTATGGGAAGTAGTAGTAGAAGTAGTAGAATGTACCCTGTGCAGGGGGAGCTGGGCTCAGATCCATGTGCACCCATGTTCTTGGTTAAGTTGTCAGATACTGAATCCAGATTCAGGTACAAAGATGGCTTCTTCACTGAGGGTGGCTACGAGACACACAATTCATTAAAACATTAACAAGCCAAACTCACACATTGCAAACAAAATCTCTGAAATATACCAAATACTCACAGGTGAAGAGGAGCCAATCTTCTCCATGTACTCAATTTCATAGTCTTGCACTGCCACAGAAAGACAAAACCAAATTTCAGATGCAGAGGAAGAAATGTAGAGACATGTTAGCCAGTGTTCAGCTGTGGACTGACAGGCTCAGAGGCTGAGGCAGCGTTCTCTGTTCTCACTTTCATCCGTGACCCAGCTGGGTGGAGTCACACAGCCTCTGGGAAGAGGTGGATCATCTAGAGGTCAGAGGGTAGCTGAGAACTGGGCCAGCAAGCATTTTGCAATTGTACAAGAAAAATCAATAATGTTGCCAGATGAATGAAGAGTAAATTGTCTGATTGTCGTACACAAGGGTTTATTCAAACATAAGCTCTAAATTTCTTGTCAGCCAAGCCTGTCTGTGGCATATTGTGATAGCTGATAGCGTTTGTTGGGACGCAGGTGGCTGAAGGTACAAACAGGGATCAAAGTCTGAGTGAACAGATCTCAGGACAGATGTTAATACCGGATCTTAACAGGGTAGAGGACAGCAATGGCTCACCTAGACTCTGATGAGGAAGCCTGTTCTCATTAACAAAGGATGTGAGGTCACACGGCTGAGGAAAGTCTTTGTCAGAGTTCAGTTCTGCATCCATGTCATGCAGGGTGGCCCACTTGTGATTGGTGGAGGAGGCCAGTTTCTCCTCATCAGTGGCGTGGTCGTCCTGTGGGTGGAGGGAGGAGGGCTCATCTGTGGACGTAAGATCCTGCAACACAAAAACAATGATATCCTCAGACGGAGGAGTAAATACGGTCAATATGTTTCAGGTCAGCATTAAGTACACACCTCTGATGTGTCAGACAGTGGTGATTTCTTTGGCGACCTCTTCACTCTGAAAGTATTACTGAGAAAAAGAAAATTGATTAAGATATACATTCGCTTAGTGTCTGCAGTCCACAGCTTTTGACTGATCTATATATTCTATGAATAATAATAATAATAATAAGTGTGACTCAAACATGTAAAGCCATAAACACTATCATCTATAAATAACATTTATGCTAAGAGCAGCTTTAACATGTGTAATAGAGCTACTTACTGTAGTGTATGTGAGGCTGAAATGACAGTGGCTGTGCACATACTGCCATATAGCACAGATACCAGATAGGAATGCATTTAGGGATGTAATAGGTTAGTTCGGACATAATGCAAACATAATGTATTACAATGGATTAACAGTTAGAGGTAGGTATTTAATGTGAACAGGAATTATCAATAACTGGTTGTATATCTTGGGATGACCTTGGATCCAGTTTTGTATTGTGAATTTATAAAAAAAAAAATTTAAAAAATAGATCTGTATCTATACAGTTTTAGTTCTTTTAGCCAACAATAGCCAACAATGAACACAAGAGGGAGCACAAGCACCTCCTTTGTTACATTCTGGCATGTCACTAAAATATATCTATCACAAATCTGACAAAGGTATATAAAATAGATCTTTTTATTGGAACACTTTGTCATATAACAGAATCTTTGATCTTGAAAAAAAGTTTTTTTTATTCAGTTTAAAAATGGCAGCAACATAAAAACACAAATGGAATTGCACTAAGGCCCAACAGTCCCCTTAAGAAACCATATTTACATATTGGTTACATATATTGGTTGAGTAATTTTTGCATAATCTTGCGAACTAACAAATGAACACAAACATGAAAACATAAACTCCTTGGTGAAGTTAATAACACATCTCCTTGTGTTTTGTTTGCCACCATTAATTCTTCATCATTTAACACAACCTCATTAAGGACAGCTACACTGATCTCTATTGGTAGAAGGTTTTAAGTCCTTCAAGTTGCAGACCACACTGAAATGATGTGTATATACTGTATATAATACAGAATAAGTGAAGACATCTGTTCTGCAATTAAAATGGGTAGCCTTTACATTTTTGTAAATGGGATTGTTTAATAGTAGTTAATAATAATAATGGATTTTGATGTTTCTGTTAATACGAGGAGGGACACCTGGGCAACATGCAGACTTAGAATAAGTCACATGGGATTAAGGCTCAAAAATGCTGGATGGTTGTGTTGCCCCTGTACTTACAACAGACAACATAGAGAGGACACACCCCTGGACTTCCTATGACGTACAAGATACACAGACACAGGTGACAGAGAGACAGACAGAGGACACTACAAGCCATAGTAGACAAGTAGACCACAAACACACAGAGTAACTTCAAAAAACAAACGCACGGCGATGCAGATGTCCCTACATGAATGTCTGTAATGTGATGTTGTGTATGTCTGTATGGAGCTACATGAACTTACGATTTGAGTGGAGTTTTCTTCTTCTTGGCAGGTTTGTTCTGGTTTTGGTCCTCCAGTTCCCCAATGTTGTCATTGTCATTGTCATTGTCATAGTCATTGGATGACAGCTCAAAAGAGGCAGAGGCCTTCGGAGGGGAGTTGGCCATCTTATTGGAGGATTTGAAGGGGTCTATTGAGTCGTCTAAGTTACTGGGGTCAAAGCTGTAAGACTGCCTACACAATTTAGGGGTGTTGCTGATTCCTGTCTTGGAGGTGAATGGATTGAAATTTGGATTGTCCCACTTGTCCGTTTCCAAACTGTATGACTCTTTAGGAGCAGAGATTTCATCGTCGTTGCCATTGTGTGTTGCCGGAGAGTTGTTGTCCAGCTGCTCCGTCTGTGCTGGAGGAGCCTTCTTCGTCCCCAGCTTTGGTTTCCTCAGAGGCATCTTGGCACCGGGTTTCTTGCCCACTTTCTTAGGTGGGGGTGAGGCCTGGTGTGACACCTCACTGCTCTCCTCAGAGTAGTCAAACTCCAGCCTTACCGCCTGACGCTTGGGGATGATCGGTTGCTCTTCAGGGTTGGTGATTGGCTCCTGAAGAGGAGCTGGAGGGCTGTATTGATGTAGGTCTGCAGCAGGGACTGGGGTACTCTCTACAAGCGTAGCAATAGAGGCGCACACTGGACCTTTACGTCCTAGTTCTGGTGAGTTGGCAATTTTACTACCTCCTGTCTTGAAAGGGTCGATGTTCTCAAAGTTATCTGGATCCCATTTATAGGAGGTACTAGGGGGGATGGGGGATTCTTCTCTGTCTGTTACACTACCAGGGAGAGGTGTCTCCTCGTGGCACAAGGGTAAGGCAGGGATGACAACGGTCTCTTCTTGGCTGATGTGATTGGTCTCTTCTGGGAGAGGGGGTGGAGTTTCAACGCAGCTCTTCCTGGTTCTGCGGAGGGTTCCTCCAGGGCTCTGTGTTGCAGATACTGCTTCTGCTTCCTCCTGAGCCTGGAGAGGGCTGGCAGTTCGAGGCTTTGCCCGTTTCTTGACCTCTGGGGTGCTGCTGGATGAGGCAGGCCTTGGACTTTCTGGGTTGGAGTTCTGTCTAAGAAGAGGCTTTTTCTTCAAAGAACCAGGACGGACCTTCTTGGGCCTGTGGAGTGTACCTGGGGCACTCTCAGTGCATACGCTGAAGGACTCTGAATGTGGTCGGAATCCTCCAGTTGTGGATCCGTCCAACAGGCCGCAGCTGTCTAGCTCTCCTCCCTGGAGGCTGAGGGATCGAGTGAGTGTGTGACTAGCTGAATCAGTAGCAATATACTCAATGTTGTATGTGCCACTGGCTGCGATAGGCTTGTTTTCATCAAAAACAATAGATGGAGAATGGCATCGTGCATCAATTGAAGTCAAGTCAGAGGCAGGCTCACTGACTGAGGTCTCTGCTACTGCAAAAGATGAAGAATCACATGACATATTAAGAGGTTTTATCGAGACATTAAAAATGCTAAATCAAAGCTAAATATAGCTTTAGAAATGTAATTATGATGATGATATTATTAATCTGTTGAGTTTGGGTGTGAAAAAGAAATCGTGCATGTAGCTAAAAGCTGTATTTGCTCAGATGCAATGATAAAAATGAACAGGCTATAAACAATTCAGTGAATCTGGACGGAAAAAATAATCTTGTAAAAGAGGAGGATACAATTTATTGGTCAAGCTTGCCTAGATACTCTAAAGGCATCAGTTTGAGCAGTGGAGAGTCTTGTCTTCACACAGCCAGATGTGGAATACTGCTTTTTTCCACTAGATGGTGCAACATGACTTAGCTTTACCTGGTATTTTTTCAGCATACTGTAACAGAGTATTTTACTCAGCTAAGCAAGGACAGTACAATATCTACTCCTTACTGTACCTTTGTCATCAGATGTCAGTAGCAGGGTCTGGGGGTCAACAGGAGAAACAGCCTTGACTGGAGTCGTAGATTCAGGGGTCTCAAACGCTCCATCAGAATCTGAGCTCCTTTAACAAAAGACAAGGACAAACTAAGTCAAGGATGCTGGGAATCAGACTTGAACAACAATGACTCTGAATCAGGATCATTGGCATCAATATCACAAGAGGCAGAGCTAAACTTGTCTCCACTTGAAAGATGATTATCATTTGTTAAGGTAATATATTGAGTTATTATGTCACAGAGATTAAATAGTTTGCTATGTACTGTCCATGAACTAGGAATAACACCAAGATCTATTTTTCATTTTTTATTTAATTGCTAATGGACTTCAATGGTGAAAGACACAAAATCCCCTTCCCGGCGAACACTTGCACATCTCGACATACACACAGACAGGAGACCATCTTAACATCCAAAGATGTCACAGCAATACAATAGACAGGGAAACGTGTTTCTTTACTGTGCATATGACAATAAAGCTTTGAATTGAATAGACAGGAAGTCGAGGAGAACATCAAGACCCAAATGGAGAAATGACTGATGATTCATGACAAAAGGCAAATTATAACCACAATGTTATCGTCCAAAGCAGAACACTGCATTGATTTTTCCTCTGCATTACACACACACATTCATATGGTAGCAAAGCTGAGCACACAACCTGAATACCAATCTCCATGCTCCAATGTTGTCATTATTAATTTCATCTGTGGCCCATCATCCCATCCTGTCTCTCACCTCTGTCTGACTGGCCCCCTGGCAGCCTTGATCATGCCATCATGGCGTGAGCCCCAGGAGAGTCGCCGGAGGAGCCCCAGAGCAGGATCCGAGTCTGGGCTGTCCCCGTCTTCTGCCCCTCCCAGCAGTGTGTCCCAGCCCCAGCGAGCCCACTGCAGTGGAGACAGAGCCTGCCACGCACTAACTGCCATGGCTGCCGGCTGGCTACCCCTCTCCGCACCACAATCCTCCTGCCTGACACACAGGTAGACGCCCAATGCCTCGTCCTCAGATGATGACTAAGACCACCGGATTGAACGCAGCCTCTTTATTCTATCTACCTTTCTCTATAGTCTAATTAGCAGCTCTCTTTGTTCCCAATCCTTTCCCTATACTATTCTTTATGTCTCCATATCAGCCCGTCTCCACTCCTCCCCAGTAGGAGATGAGACTAAATGAGACTCTCTACAGAAGCCTGTGCCTGCATACAACTCTCCCTGCCTCACTCTCTCTTTCTCTCTCTATCCAAATCATTCACTCCCTCCCTCTACCTCTCTCTCTTCCTCTCTCGCCTCTGAGCCACTCTGCTGTATCCATACAGGGAAGGCAGTACGCTGCCCACCAGCTCGCCCACTTTCACATATAATATTATGTCCTGTCTCATTATTTACACTTTAGTCAAATTTTCAGATAGTTAAGAAAACTGACACATTTCTTAGTCCAGGGGTCAAACTTTACATGAACATGTTGATCGGCAGGCAGATAATTACTTGTATGCTTTCATTTCAAAGTATTTCTTTAGCATTTCAAACATTATAGCTAAATTATGATATTGAGAATTGAATTTAATCTGTATCTTGCAACCCCTAGTTTGGGAACCACTGCCTTAGTCAACGCAGAAGACAAACTCAGATTGTGACTCACATTTTCATCATGAAAATGAAGAAACATATCTTTTGATAACAGCTCATACCTAAAAAGATATAACTGTGTGCAGGTGCAGAAGATGGCTTCTCCCACATATTCTTGGACAGCACCATGAAATGAGTCCCTCGAGGTAATGCTGCCATTATTGTAGGCATCCACAGTTAAATGACAACTCATGTGTCCACAATGTATTGATTCAATCTATAGAGGCTATCCTGAAGGCATTGCTGAGGCCAGTCAGCATCTCTTTCATGCACACACACCATATGCACAAAATATTGTTCAAATAAAAGCTAGTAAAGTGTGAGAGACATGGGGGCCTGAAACATTAGCTCAATACAGCTGATGCAACACAATTCCAGAGCTGAGACTTTAATGTTTATAGAGAATGCTGGCAATAAATGTTTTTGCTGTAATGGTCAATATGTCCTCTATCCCTGGGGCCATATCACAGCAGAGAGGGTGGTTCTTTTACGCCAACAATATGGCAGGAGTAACAAAGTCTCCTTGCACAGCAACATGCTCCACTGTTAACTCATCAGGCTACACAGAAACCTTGGACAGCATGTTAGGGCTCTGGCAGGGGCTAATATAATAAATTGTACCTGTTTATTTCATTTTTAATGTTAAGTCTGATGTTTCCTCAGACAATGCTTTGACACACACAGTATTTCCATGGTGCTGTGATGTGTGATGAAACAGCACATGGCTAAGAAGGGAGCCAGAGCTATAATCTCTGCGAGGGCCAGGTGTGTCCCAGCAGGATGAGAGGAGTCTGTCTGGGGATCCAACTGGATCAGTCACTGGGAACCAAGATCATATACTGTCAGATGATTTAAGACAGGCAGTGAAGCAGACTACTCAGAAGACAGGACCCGAATGCTGTATCCAACAAACAAAAAAGCTTCCAGCACACAAATATGGGTGGGAATAATATTCTGTTATGGATAAATATTAGCAGTTTTGTTGAGAACAGATGAGTAGTAAACTGAAAACTGAAAAAATTATTAAAACATGCTCAGTTTGTCTCCATGCAGAGGCCATTTTTCATGCAACTGCAAACACTGTGTTGCTATGGCAACTGGAGGCTGTCTCTGCCATATGTTCCACGTTGGCAGGAAAAACAAGAGCAGAGTGGCTGGATGCACACGGTCCAACATTTACACGGAAGGATCTGCACACTGCACATTTATGACGCTGCTGCATCAGTATCATTCTGCTCACATCACAAGAGCCGGTTTCTTCTAATCCTCCCAGAATCAATCATCTTAATTGAGATTTAAAACAACGAAAATCATAAATTAAATGGAATATTGTGGATAAAAGTATACAAATTAATAAGAAGCAAAAAAATGAGCATGCCGCCTGTGTTAACACAGTCTTCTGCAGCTCTTATGTTACCAAACAGCAGACAAAACACAGAAAGAGGAAAAGCCACGTGTGGGTGAGCAGTCGGGGTATGAGGTTAGAAACAAAGAGAGAAGCAGTAGGCAATCGGAGCCTCTCAGATGCCGAGACGACTGCCTGGAGACAGAGTCTGTGCAGCAGGAGGCAGGGGAGACGCTGCATTTCAGAAACCCAGACGTGTCTCTGCCTCCAAATCCAACTCCACCTGTCTCAACAGCTTTCACAGAGCTGGAGGGAGAGCCACCGCCAAGCCCCAGGGAAGTGGGAGAAACTGGGCTGTACTGACACGTAAACCCCACACCACCTGTCTGTCAATTTAAAGCGTCCATACTCTTCCAAAACAGAAGATGCTGTGATTACAAATGAGCATTTGATGTCAGCACAAAGGGAAGATGGGGGAGGAGGAGGCAACTGATGGTGAATGAAAGAAAAAGAGGAAGAAGCGATGGATAAATGGCGGCTGGCTCCTGGTCTCCAAGCAGCTGTGTGATTAGCCTCAATGGATTATCTGCCGCACACAGCTCCCTCCACCGTCTCTTGCCTGTCAAACACCTTTAAACACCCTTCTCTGTCTGGACACCGACGTTCATCTATCTCTTTCTATTCCTCCCTTCCTCCACCTTTATATCCCTCACTTTCTCCATCACCTCCTGCCTTATCCCCACAAATCATCAACATCTTTTTTAATCTTCTCTTGATGCAGCAATCCTGTCTACCACGACTGCTTTGGGGATCAGGTTGATTTGTGATTTACTGTTTGCAATTTTGGGAATCAAAGAACCAGGGAAAGGTTTTCTTCAGCATGAAGTGTCACAAGCTTACCATTATTAAATTATCTGTATTGTGAAAAGAAGGTAAAACTTTGTTTGTTCTTCATTATACTGTGCAGTCTATGGTATAAGGTTGAGGTGAAGAGACCAACAGGGGGAGCTCCTGTGCTGTTATCCTCTGATGAATGAGTGTCTGGTTATGAAGTATTACATCATAACCACTGTACAGGCTGTGAAGCTCCACATCAGCCTACTATCTTTTTACAAGAGCCTCCCCAGTTTCTACACAGATGTGGTGCAGTGAGCTGGGAGCAATCTGCAGAGGCTGTTTTTAATGGGACACAGAGCACAAAGCAGCTCTGTCTGATTCTTCAATCTCAGGAAATGAAATCTTATGGAGAATCACTCTGTACTTTTTTCAGGTCATAAAGAGAGCCTGGTACAAAAACAAAGTGTTTTGATCATCCCCTCAGGAGTCTGGTAGTCTAAGAAATCCACTCATCCAGCTCCAAAACAAAGAAACCACTGACACAGCCTGAGATAATCTCCAAGAGTAATACCTCATCGAGCCTAATCTGAGACTTTGACTGCAAGCAGATGGCACATTAAACAACAACAGGTCAGGTCTGTGAGTCAGAGCCGAATGGGAGTGGGGGTTAAAGGTCCAGTGGGATTTAGTGGCATATTTCATATAATTATTACGTATTACAACCAACTGCACCCTCGCCTCACCCTCCCCTTACAAGGATGTAGGACAGTGGTATTTAAATTCAATTGTGCAGATCAAGAAGATGTCCTCAAAGAAAAGGTCCTGAACATTATGTGTAGTGTTATGATTCAGTGTAATATATATTGAAATATTTTATTATTATTATTTGATTAATGTCTGTGTGTTGCTGATAAATCAAAGAATCTATAATACAATCATATTTTTACTGTCGGTTTTCATTTTTCAGGTCGAGAGATAATAATAATATAATAATAAGTAAAAAATAAATGATCTTTTTCAAAAAAAGAATCAAGTACATTAAAGGATTTTTTTTTAAATGAGCATCTGAAGCTGCTAAACGTGTTTTAATTTTAGAAATAATACAATAAATTAAGAAAGTGATAATCAGTTTTCACTTTTTCTTCTTTTTGTTAACTCACATCAACAGTCAAAAGTTTTCTAATAGTTTCAACACACGACTGAACAGCTTTAACATGTACTTTTCGTACACAGAATTTTGGCCTATTACTTAAAT